GGTATTCCCCCCACCAGCTCCTTTTGCTCAAGGCTAGCACTCTACCCCTTGAGTCACAGCGCCACTTCCAGCTTTTTCCTGTGACTAATTGGAGATAAGAGTCTGGCAGACTTCCCTGCCTGGAGTGACTTCAAACTGCGATCCTCAGATGTCAGCCTCCTGAGTAGCTAGGATGACAGGCCTGAGCCACCAGTGCCCAGCATGGTTTAGAACTATTCTAAAAACAGAAAAAGGTTAGCTAAGAGCTGGTTGTTGATGGCTCATGCCTATAATCCTAGCTACTCAGGAAGCTGAGATCTGGGGATCCCAGTTCAAAGCCAACCTCGGCAGAAAAGTCCATGAGACTCTGATCTCCAATGAACCACCACAAAGCTGGAAGTGGAGCTGTGGCTCAAGTGGTAGTGTTAGTCTTGAGCAAAAAAAGTCAGCACCAAAAAAGCTTTCATGGCTTCTTACTGATCTTAAGATAAAAGAGAGGATTGGAGGTATGGCTCAAGTGGTAGAGGTCCATAAATGAGCAAGAAAGCTGAGAAGCATGTGTGCTCAAGGAAGAGAGAGGGGAGGGGAGGGAGAGACAGAGGGAGAGGGAAAGACAGAGGGAGAGGGAAAGACAGAGGGAGAGGGAGAGAGCGTGTGAGTATGACCACGGCTCCAAGTTCAAGTCTTGGTACCAGCAAAAAGATAAGAATTTAACAATGTTTACAAGCCGGGCGCTGGTGGCTCACGCCTGTAATCCTAGCTACTCAGGAGGCTGAGATCTGAGGATCGCGGTTCAAAGCCAGCCTGGGCAGGAGAGACTCTGAGACTCCTATCTCCAATAAACCACCAGAAAACCGGAAGTGGTGCTGTAGCTCAAGTGGTAGAGCGCTCGCCTTGAGCTGAAGAGCTGAGGGACAGCGCCCAGGCCCAGAGTTCAAGCCCCACGGCCGACAAAAAAAAAAAAAAAAGAATTTAACAATGTTTTTGTAACCAGTTTCTCAGTCTCCTCAGCCCTAAGCCCCCAAACCAGGTCATACTGAGACCCTCTTGGCACCTGACATCATATAAAGCAACCATTTAATATGTATTTATATCACCTAACCTAATACCTTAAAGTTCATTCTTGTAGCATATACTAGAATTCCTTGTGTAAGGCTGCATAGTATTCCATTATGCATTTATCACATTTTGTTTACCCATTTGTCCATGAACATTTATATGGTTTCCCCTCAGGTGTGATTTTTGTGTGTGTGTGTGGTATGTGCTGGAGATGAGGATCAAAGCTAGGGCTGTGGATGCCGCTGGGAGGTGTTTCAGGGAGGTAAGGGAAATGTCATTCACTTTGTGAAGACTAAAGGACAGCATTTGTTTTTCCTCAAATCCCAGCTTTGTTCCCAGCTCAGATGTTTACCAGAAACTTCTTTTAAACTTGTTTGTGCTGGTCCTGGGGCTTGAACTTAGGGCCTAGCTGCTGTCCTGTCCCTGAGCATTTTTTTTTTTTTTTGGGTCCGGTTGTGGGGCCTGAACTCTGGGTCTGGGCGCTGTCCCTCAGCTCTTCAGCTCAAGGCTAGCGTTCTACCACTTGAGCCACA